TACTTTGTGCGTCTCTACACGGAGCCACTACTGGTGAACTTGCCAACCCCTGACTTCAGCATGCCATATAACGTCATCTGCCTGACCTGCACTGTGGTGGCCGTGTGTTATGGCTCCTTCTACAATCTGCTGACCAGAACCTTTCATGTGGAAGAGCCAAGCAGGGATGGCTTAGCAAAGCGACTGGCCAACATTATCCGCAGAGTCCGAGGGGTTCCACCCCTTTGAGAGGAGCCAACTCAGCCAGTGCAGTTGGCATGTAATGTGGGCTTCAGTGGGAATGCTGTAGCCAGGGCTTGCAGGGAAAGCAAGGGGACAAAAAACATTGCTGCTTTACCTCCTCCTGAAGAGAGGAGAGGCGCCCTGCTGCCTCATGTACCTCTGTCTCCTGGAGTCCTTGAAACTAACAGGTCAGAGAACTTCCACCAGTTAAGAGGCTGCTGGGAATTGTCACAGGGAAATGCAGAGCCAAATAATCAGGAAAGAAGTGTTATAGTCCAGTTCTGGGGAGGGGTAACTTATGTTCTGTAAAAAGATTCAAGAAATAAATCTGAGCTGTTTTTGTAGGCCTGTGCTGTTTGTGTGTGGTGGGGTTTTTTTGGTGTTTGTTTTTTTTAATTGCTTCTACCTGCCATTCTGCACCAGCTCACGGGTATGTCCAGCATGCAGCAGTGGTCAGTGCCTGTCTGTGAGGTTTCATGAAACACTAACAATTCCCCATGTTTTCCCTGGCTGATGGAGCAATGCTGCATGGAGATTTTAAAATCTCGCCTGACTGCTGCCTGGATCACTGTACGTTCTGAAGTCTGAAATTTAATTACATTTCACTAAGCATGGAGAACGACAGTCAGTCAAATCCAATGCAGTAGTCATGAGCTGGGGATCTCGCTAGCAGGGGGTCTCTGTTGCCCAGGGTCTAAAAAAAAAATTTGGCAGAAGGGCAACTCTTCCAGGATTGTGTCTCTAGTGAGGGCATGAGTAGCAAATGGATGTGAAAGGACAGTGATTTGATTTTGCACAGACCGCTTACGTGAACATGCAAATGTAGATGTGTGCATCTTTCCATTGTTGGCAGTTGTACTCTGCCTTGGATAATTGGAAAGACTTTCTTAAATACTACTTTGAAGTTTTCCATTTCTTTTTTTGGAGGTGAGGCTCACTCCTTTGGCATTCAGTTGCCAGGAATGTGATAACTTGTCTGGAGCATTAAAAATGAATTAATGACGTCTTGGAAAATATTTGTGGTAAGAAAATGTTAGTGTAATTGTAATTCTTTACCCTGGATCCTGATTACAAGAGTTGCTCTCATCCAGTCAGAACAGAAAAGTATCATGTGACCTGTAACTGAGCAAAAGATCTTGAATTTTCGATACAGATACTCAGAGAATCACATACAAACTAAAATGTATTCATAGAAAGAGAGGCCAAAGTTAATGAGTGATTTATCTATCTAGCTCTACACAGGAAGCAGGTTTTGATTGGCCACATGGGTTTTTTGTCACATTCAGGAGTCTGCACTCAAGACTTTCCTGTAGCAGGATGGAACAGTTACTGTTCTCTCTGTAGCTTCTGTAGTATAAACATCCGAGAACTTGGACATAGAATTGTAGAAATCCCTTGGCAATGCTGCCCTGCTGGGGCCAACGTTGGGCTTGAGCTGGCAAAATTCTGAAGACCAAGTACAGAAGAGGGAGAAGCAACAGCCACAACCCCATGTGGCCACAAGTCCTACACTCTGCTCTGGGGTTTGTGGCTCCTCCCCATGTTGCAACAGGAATACCGTTAGTGGGGCTGGAGCCATGGCCCTGCTTTGAGGTTCAGTCAGAAGCTGTTTTACAGCCTCTTCTGCTCCCTGGGAACATTCTCAACCTCAGCTGCTGTAGTAACACTAAACAGACATGGAGGAGAGGAATCTTACTGTAGATGGAACCAGGGCCAATAGGAGCTGGGAATAGTGGATTGGTGGCATAATCATACATTGAAGTTCATCTTTGGCCAGACTTGGAGGTTGATGATTTCTTCTTGAATGCTTCTTCTGGCCTTGAGCCATAGTGACACAAAGGGACCTGTTAGGGTTACAAGAACGGCCATACTGGGTCAGACCAAAGGTCCATCTAGCCCGGTATCCTGTCTTCTGACAATGGCCAATGCCAGATGTCCCAGAGGGAGTGAACAGAACAGGGAATCATCATGTGGATCCCTCTCCTATCATCCAGTTCCAGCCTCTGACAAACAGAGACTAGGGACACCGTTCCTACCCATCTTGGATAATAGTCATTGATGGACCTAATCCTCATAAATGTATCTAGTTTTTCTGAAACCTATTTAAGTCCTGGTCTTCACAACATCCTCAGTCAAGGAGTTTCACAGGTTGACTATGCACTGTATGAAGAAAAGCTAACTTTTTTGTTTTAAACCTGCTACCTATTAATTTCATTTGATGATCCCTAGTTCTTATGGGTCCACATCCATGTGTTTATTTCTCACCATACATCCAGCTTAGTGACATGGCCCCACTGGTGCAGTGAGGAAAATGATACAGGATTTCAGAGTATGAAGCAATCATCTGGAGCAAAAACTACCTCCACAATGTCATTGCTACACCCCAGGACTCCAGGCTGGTCTTATCTAGGCAGCTCTGAGTAGTGGGCAATTAACACACTATAAATGCACCTAGAGAGGAACTGCATCTCCCTAGCCCAGATCTGGGATCAGTGTCCTTAGCAAGACTCCCATGAGCTTCACTTGAGTCCTTGGGGGGCTCCCTATATTTTAGTCAGTGCCAGGAAGATCTCTTAAAAGACCGTATGTTCTAGCTAACTTCTTATCCCTTAGTAACAAAAGAACAGCTGCATAGTGTCAGCCTAGAGCTACAGCTCCTGCTATACTCTGCAATACTTTGATTCCCCAGGGCAAAGATTAGCTGCTTTAGAGAAAGAAACTGCTGTGGGCAACTATTTTTCCCCAGTGCTGAACAAAAAGGTTTGTATGCCTTTTGTATGTGTTACGTGTGTGGCACAAGGCTTGCAGGTTCAGATCCCTTATCTTTATTGCCTTCTCTAGAGTAGCTGAGGATGTGCTCATTACAGGCAGTCCCCGGGTTACATACAAGATAGGGACTGTAGGTTTGTTCTTAAGTTGAATTTGTATGTAAGTCGGAACTGGTACATATTGTAGGGGAAACTCTAGCCAAACATTTCTCCAGAGCTCAGTTTTATTCTCCCACACCTCACTTCCCTCAGTCCTTTATTCTCAAGCTGAGGTGTCTGCTGAGAAAAGCCGCTTCGCGTCTCCCTGGTCTGCTGGGGGGAAGCAGCTAGTGCTGGGTTGCCTCACCCCATTTGTAAGTAGGGATCCGATGTAAGTCGGATCCGATGTAACCCGGGGACTGCCTGTACTCATAGGTGTTTGACCCTTTTTTGTATCCTTGAGATCTTGTGGTGGGGAGTTCCACAGATTAATTATGAGGGAGGGGGAAATTGGGGGAGATGTGTCCTTTATTACAATTCTAAATAGGTTGCCTTATTTCATTAATTGTTCCCTGGCAAAATGGGAAGATAAATAGGAGCACCTTCTGACCTTTGTTGTACTTGTCATTTAGTGTATTTTCCTCTCCTGTGTTCCCTTTCCAAACTAAGCAGTCCTAATCCCTTCTCTTTACCTATGAAATCTCTGTAGATCATTAGCTATTTTTCCTATCTGTATCAGAATCCCCTTTAATTCTGTTACTTCTGATTTCTAGAAATGGGGTGACCAGAAGTGAACCCCGTATTCCAGGTAAGGGTCAACCACTGCTAACCTAATTATAGTGCGATTCTCTAGTCTAGCCTGTCCTTTTTATCTCTTAGCTATTTGCTTTTGTTTTTTTATAACTTGCTCATTGAGCAGAGCTCTTTACTGAATGAGACCAAGTTCTATTTTCTGAGACACTTAATTTTAGATCCCAGCAAGGTGCACATGTGGCTCAGATTATTCCTTGCAATGTGCATCCCTTTGCATTTATCAGCAATTAATCCCACCTGCTCCCATGCTGCTTTCTTCACACAGTTCTCTAGTCTTAAGAGTCCTGATCACTCTTGTGCAGTTGCACCTTGTTGCTATTTTTCTTTCCATCAAAGAAAAGCCTGCTTGCCCTCAGCTTCTGTGTAAGGAAAATTTTACAAGACCCATCTTGTTTCACATTTGAAGGCTGGTGTCACCCCTAGTCTAGGAGTAACATCCCATTCAATACAGGACAATAAACTTCCCATAACCATAGTTTCATTCTACTTTTTTCTCCTCTCCTCTCTCTAGTCATTACAACCATTTCTGCAATGGCTCAGTCTAGCCACAAGGTGTACTCAAAGTACTAAATTAGAAAGTAGGAGCTAAGCCAGTAAGATTTGGTTGTGTTTCCAGGACCATGTCTTTGGGTAGCCCTTTTGTGACATGCGCTGGTGACAGTGATGACTAGCAACTGTCCACAATGAAATTGATGAAGGTGTCTAAATGGGACATGAGGAAATTATTAGAAGCAGGTGTTTGCAAAGAGCAGTTGATGAAATCCAACCTGTGAGGATGGAGAATAATACAAATAAGTAAGGGGTTATGATCTTTCAGATAAGAATTTAAAAAACTGAAAAACTTTTTAAAATATGCTACAACCACACAGACTTAATTCTGTCCTTTTTGGCAATGGGATCATCATGCTACCTTACCTGCCCCTAACAGCAATGTCATTTTATGCCCATCACAATTCCAGATCTCATGAGTCCTCAGTAACTCAGCCCTGCAGTCTCAAGATCCTCCATGCAGCAGTGCTGACAGCAGGACTGTCAGCTCCTGGAACCAGGGACTGTCGCTTCATAGACTCAAAAAGCTAGAAGAGACCTCAGGAGGTCATGAAGTTCAGCCCCCTCCCAAGGCAAGACCAATCCCAACTAAATCAACCCAGCCAGGGCTTTGTCAAGCCGAGACATAAACACCTCTAGGGATGGTGATTCCACCACCTCCCTAGGCATCCCATTCTAGTACTTCACCACCCTCCTAGTGAAATAGCTTTTCCTAATAGCCAAACTAGACCTCCCCCACTGTAACTTGAGACCATTGCTCCTTGTTCTGCCATCCATCACTACTGAGAACAGCCTTTCTCCATCCTCTTTGGAGCCTCCCTTCAGGAAATTGAAGGCTGCTATCAAATCCCCCCTCACTCTCCTCTTCTGCAGATTAAACAAACCAAATCCCTCAGTCTCTCATCATAGGTCATCAAGGCTCCAGCCTCCTAATCAGTTTGGTTGCCCTTCCCTGGACCCTCTCCAATGCGTCCACATCCTTTCTATAGTGGGGGCCCCAGAACTAGACACAATACTCCAGATGTGGCCTCACCAGAGCTGAATAAAGGGGAATAACCACTTCTCTAGATCTGCTGGCAATGCTCCTCCTAATGCAACCTAATATGCCATTAGCCTTCTTGGCTACAAGGGCACACTGTTGACTCCTATCCAGCTTCTTATCCACTGTAATGCTCAGGTACTTTTCTGCAGAATTGCTACTTAACCATTCGGTCCCCAGCCTGTAATAATGCTTGGGATTCTT